ACACAAGATCACGTAAGAACAAGAAAGTGAAAAAAGTCGATTTTTTTTAGCGGGTTCTACGCCATCTTGTTTCACTGGAAAACGGGCGAAAAGTAAACAAAGCAAAGAAAACAACGAAAACCAAAATGAGCCAAAATTATTGTCAGCCACTTTAAACGCTCAATTTAGGTAAAATGATGCAAAAAATGCTTTAAAATGTGTTGTCATGTTGAATTAACTCTTCTTTACTTGAATAAAAGTGTAAAATAGTGGTGCTTGTGATGTAAACAAACGCTCAGCTGACGAACCCGCTTTCGCATACTTTTTTCTCAAAACCAGTTACAAATACAACGTCGCGTTCTTACGTGATCTTGTATTTTTGGTTCAAGGGATTCATCCAAGGTGCTGTTACTTAACATACAACTTTCCTCGCTTTGCTTGACAGTTCAAACTTTGACAACAAAGCGTGAAACGCAGAAGGTATGCTACAATAAACGCTTTGACAGCTTGTGCGTTCTCCTTTTCCTCCATATATTTTATCTGTAAAATAGATAACAATATAATAATATGCATTAATAATAGCAATAAAAATTCCTATTTACCCTATTTTTGTCATTAAATGCAAATGCAAGCGCACGAGAAAAGATACAGCTGATTGCCAAAGCGGGCAAAAGATGAGAGTTGCCCAATATTTTGCTTTGCTTTGCTTCAAACGTTTTTTATGTGAGCATACTCATGCATATGCCTACATCGATCTTATATGTCAAAGCAAAGAACTATCAAGCAAAGCGAAGAAAGTTGTATGTGAATCAGCCTTTAGGGTTTACACCAGACAATATTGTCAAGACAATTATGTCAAAATGATGTGTTTGTTGTAATATGAGTTCGCCGTGTTTACAACAAACACATCATTTTGACATAATTGTCTTGACAATATTGTCTGGAGTAAACCCTAACTTAGCAGACAAACCGATTTCTGGTTTTTTCTTTCGCCGTACTTGTTTTTTGTTTTGCTTTTACTTATTTGATAGCACACACGTGAAAAGCAAAAACAAAATACATTCAAAGTTGGGCAGCTTGATCGTAAAAGCAAGACAAACTATAAAGAATAGCAAGTAAAACTATTTTTATTTACTCAAATGATCATCGTTATAAACTTATCACAAACTTTTTCTTGCAAACCTTGCACACTCTTTCATCACTACTCGTATTCAAGTCAAAAAAGCTTCAGAATTAAACGCTTGGTTATCGGCCCATCTTCTTCGCAGCAATAAATGAACTATACTAACTAGAAGCAAACTACAGCACTTCACTCAGTATTTTTAGCAATCCTATTGGATACCTTTGCATTAAAAAAAAAAAAGAAAAAGAAAAGGTCAATTCGAAACGTAAACAAATAGCACACAAAATAAAAGTCTCACTAATGCAGATAAGCCAAAAACTTGTTATAAAGCAACTGCGAGTGATTTATTTTTTATAACAAGAAATAAATGACAATTTGTGACACAGCAATAAATGGGTCGGTTATTTTCGGTCTCTGCCCAAAGATGAAACTCATTTTCTACTCATTATAGTGACGACTCCACTACCCGCACATTATTTAAATTCGCAAGATCTTCATCACTGAGGCAAATGCTAGCGGATCTTTGAAATTCATTTTTTTTACCTCGGGTCGAGTAAAATTAATGCAGTTACCAAAAAATAATGATCGATGGATAGATTTTAGACAAGAACAGAGTTCATATTTTTTGAAAATATTTTTACAATTATTCTGTAATTAATCGATTAATCAAATATATTAAAACAATACAATTAAATGGTGTACGCACGAGGCGAGTTCGCATTCAACTTTTGCATTCAACTCACGCAGTGTTGCACGAAAAAAAAGTTGAATGGCTAAATGTTGGCTGGCGACCAACTTTGTTGAAAGCGATTAGTTGAAAGGCCGTTCAACCAAAAGTAGAATGCAAAGTTAAATGCAAACGCCTTTTTATGGCGAAGATTTTGATATTTTTTTATATTATGATATTTTTAGCCATTCATTTTTTTTCGAGCAACACTGCGTGAGTTGAACACAAAAGTTGCCTGAAAAATCGCCATGTGCGAAAGCCCCATAAATCGTAAACTGAACAAGAATAGTCGATTAATTTAATCAAATGATCAATCGCTGCCATCCCTTGTGGTGAATTACTAAAAAAATGTCTGATTTCGCGTTTGATTACGCTTTGGTAAAACAGCTCAAATCCGTATAGCTTTAAAAATTTCTGCCAAATTTTCCAATGCATTTTTAACTTTAATAGTTTGAAAAACATACAAACCACTATAAAATAAACTTTTATCGGCCATAAAAAATATTAAAGGTGCGCTAAAGCGAAGTCTCAAGATTAAAAGACGTACGTGGGGTGCGGGGATTGAGTGGCTAATGTCTCCGATTTGTTGAAAATAAAAGTTTCAATACTCTGCGGAGCTTGTCACATAATCAATAAACAAGTCCGGGGGACGTAATAACTTTCCAACGTCCATCGTCAATTGAAAAGTGGGTTGGTGTTATAGAAGCAATTTCAGCTTCGTCCACCCAACGGAAACGATGTCAACAACTCCAAATTCTGGAAATAGTAGTAGTAGCAACAACAACTCTACAAAATCCCCAAAACAAAATCAAGTTAACGGCGGCGATTCATACAGTGACAGTAGTAGCATTGAAGAAAATCTTGAATCCGAGGAGCGAAGGCGTAGAATTTTGAAAAACAGAAATAGGTGAAATTATTTGAATGCTTTAACAGGCCCAATAATTCTTATACCTAAGTTTGTTATTACTGTAGAAGCAGTGGCTATTTGCAACGCAACGTTAGTAGTAAATCACAGCCGCATCACCACGTTACGCAGCAAAGAGTCAGTATGAGTGCAGCAAGCGGTGCTATACCGAAACACGACAAGTCAAGTGTGGCAGGCTCTGCCGTATCCAATAATAGTGGCGGACAAAATGCTGGAGGTGGGGTTTTACTGCGTCCGGGAGATCGTATTGCACTGCTAGTGGACAATGTACGCTTTGTTATTGAGCAGGCACTAGTAACAGCACATCCAAACACCATGCTAGGTACAATGTTTAGCTCAGGCTTTCAATTTGTCCACCCCAACGAGCGCGGTGAATATGAAGTAGCTGAAGGCATTTCCCATACCGTTTTTCGTGCAATCCTAGAGTATTATAAAACTGGAATAATTCGCTGCCCTCCAACGGTATCTGTCCCTGAACTAAAAGAGGCATGTGATTATCTGCTTATACCATTCGACGCGACTACTGTTCGGTGCCAGAATTTACGTGAGTTCTCCCTTCAAACTAACTTATGGATGGTTTAGATGGATATAACCACTAAATTAACAAGTAGCATCCTTTCTTATTCAGAAAATTCTAGAAATATACATATGTACCTGCAATTCAGGGCCGTAAAACTATATTATGGTTATTTAGTAGCGTTTTTTCTCTCTCCCTTTTTTCTCTTCCTTTGTTGTTCTGACTTTTTAATACGTACTCATTTCCCTTCCCCCGCATGTACGTTTTTTGTGTTTGTACGTCTCAAAGGAGGTTTACTACATGAACTCAGCAACGAAGGTGCTCGTCAGCAATTCGAAGTTTTCCTTGAGGATCTTATACTGCCCCTAATGGTTGCGTCGGCACAACGTGGTGATCGAGAATGTCATGTTGTAGTTTTACTGGACGATGACGTTGTTGACTGGGATGAAGAGTTTCCTCCTCAAATGGGCGAAGAATACTGCCAAAGTACGTTATTTACTTTAAAACATCGGTTCATGTTTTAAATATATAAGTCTCATTGCAGCCGTTCACAGCACCGCTATGCATAGATTTTTTAAATATATTGAAAATCGCGACGTTGCTAAACAAGTTATGAAAGATCGTGGACTCAAAAAAATTCGTTGTGGCATCGAAGGATATCCAACACACAAGGAAAAGATTCGTCGCCGACCAGGCGGCCGTGCAGAAGTAATTTATAGTTATGTTCAACGACCCTTTATACACATGTCTTGGGAGAAGGAAGAAGCAAAAAGCCGTCACGTTGATTTTCAGTGTGTCAAATCCAAGTCGGTGACAAATTTGGCAGAAGCCAACGCAGATCCGCCTTTGGAATTGGACGCAAGTAAGATCTATTTTATTGCATTTACATATGGGGCCATGATAGCCTGAGTAGCCTATCTTCAAACAAAACTTTTTGAGTAATATGTGAAAGAAAGATCTCTAAATAATAAATACGGTATTTTACTGAAAAGTTCTTTGCACCTGCGTGATGCTACCTATTATAGTAAAATAAAACTAAAAGGGCGAGCCTCGGTATATTGCCGTTTCGATTCTAGTAATGCATTTTAAGGCTGTACCTCAATTCTGACTCAAGGCCTCATATACATATGTACATAAGTATAAAGTTGAAAACTAAAAGTGGTTATAATATTTCCTTCTTCTAGGTGGCAACCCAATACGACCAGTGGAAGTAAACATAAATGCAGAGGCGCGGGCACCCTTTGTTGCTGACGCTGAAGGGGCAGGTGGAGGAGGGGCTAATGCATCAGTTGCTGTCGCTGTTGACGAAGCGGCCGGTGGTGTAATCATGTTGAACGATCTTGAACAAGCCTCTGGCGGTGGCGTCGAAGAATCAGTCTGAATGCACATGTCCTAACAAAACAAAAAAAAAAACGTAGCATTTGTGAAAATACATTTAAAATTTATAAGCGTACGTACTCTTTTCCCTCTTCATATAACTAAATACTATAATGATATTAATATACGTTTTCTATTTACATAAGGGTTTATTTTCTTTAGCTAATTATAACGATTGGTTTACAAGCCAAATTTTTATTATTAGAAGTCCAGCTTTGAAGATTCTGTCAGCGTAGACGTATCCCAATTCATGCAACGCTCTACAGCCATCTTCCACTTGTTATAACGCATATTTCTTTCATGATTTCCAATGGTCGGCTTAAAAGTGCTCAATTGACCCGAACTGCCGACGAGAGGTGCTGTGATGTCATAACTTGGCTCTACCACCATATATGCAGCCAGTGCTGCACCCTGCAAATGGGAACATATATCAGTAACAGTATTTCATATTTGTATATAATATGGCTATTTACCAATGCGGTCGTCTCCTGCATCTTAGCACGGACGACATTGATGCCCACCAAATCAGCTTGCAGCTGCAGGAATAGATTATTTGCGGTCATACCGCCATCAACCATTAATTTTGTCATAGGAATACCGCAGTCTTTGCGCATGGATTCCAAAATATCTCTAACTTGGAAGCAGATGGCTTCCAGAGTGGCACGCACGATATGTTCGCTAGTTGTTTCTTCACTGAGGCCACATATTGCGCTAAAATAATTGAATTGTAGGCCCTTCAGTATTTTACATCTAATTGCACTTCGATGTAACTAAACTTACCCACGAGCTTCTTGGTTCCAATATGGGGCATAAAGCCCACTGAACGCAGGAACAAAATAAACGTCTAAAGAGTCTTCAACTTTGCCCGCCATATCTTCGACTTGACTGACCGAATCGAATAGTTCCAAGTTGTTCTTCATCCAATTTATAGCTGCTCCAGCAATTGCTACACTACCTTCTAAAGCATACATTACCGGTGCACGCGGACCTAGTTGATAACCAACCGTTGTAAGTAACCCGTGCTTGGACTGCACAATTGATGTTCCCGTATTATAGAGAAGAAAACAGCCTGTACCGTATGTAGACTTCGCAAGTCCATGACTCAAACATTGCTGGCCTACAAGGGCAGCCTGTTGATCTCCCAAACACGATGCGATTGGAACACCTTTCAAAGCACCCACAACTACATCACCGTACCTCTCCGCACTCGAACGAATTTGTGGTAACATTGAAGCGGGCAACCCAAAGAAACGTAGCAGATGAGGATCCCATCTCAAAGTCTCGATGTTCATTAGCATAGTTCGCGATGCATTTGTTACATCAGTTAGGTGGACTCCGCCATCAGGTCCCCCCGTCAACTTATAAATTAACCATGTATCAATAGTTCCAACTTGACAGGTATTTGCATCCATAGCTTTCTGAACTTCACCAACATGATCCCGCATCCAGCGCATTTTCAAGGCCGAGAAATATGGTGAAATAGGTAGTCCACATAGTGGTTTCAAGTAATTAATATTTCGCGACTTGTTTGGTATAGTCTCAACCAGTTCATCAACAGTACTTGAAGTGCGATTATCTAACCAAATAATGGCATTATGCAATGGTTTACCGGTTGCCCGATCCCAAATTATAGTTGTTTCTCTTTGGTTTGTTATACCAATTGAAACAATATCCTCAAAGTAGAAAGGTAATTTTAAACAATTAATGTGTAATATGCGGATCAGAAATGAAGATATGTGTGACAACTGATTATGTAAGTATGTATTTTTGCAATAGAATAGTTCTAGAGAATATACGGAAAAATGCTTATTTTCATCCACTAGGATACAAAAAACGCATCTTTTACTCAATATATTTGGTTCTACAAATACTGTTGCGCACTGACATTAAGTTTTTGTTTTATTTTCAAACAGTATGATGCTTAAACTTTTTTTGTAAGTGGAAACATTAGAAACATTAGTTTTTCCAAAAAATGTGGATAAGTGGTTAACGCAGAAACTAGACGATATGTATGTATATTTATAATGCATGGTAGAAACTAAATAAATAAATAAAATCGGTAACCAAATAGCCAGAAAGGCGAGAATACCTACAATAATGTGTTTAACAAAAGAGAAAAAATTAACTAAAATGTAACATTCTTTCAGCAATTGTACGAAATATACTGCGGATTCGTTTCAGGTCATATCTACGATTTATGATTAAGAGAGTCCTAACCCTGAAAACAACACGAACGTGGTAGGTTTGGAAAAACTGTGGTGAAAATTTTCACTACTGCGAATTTTGACATTTCCTCTAAAAAATATAAATAAAAAAATGAAATTTGGAATAGAGGGCAAAGGCGAAGAAAAAGGTAAAAGTCACAAGCACAGGAAAGTGGTAAATCAATGCTTTTCCATCAGCAATTAATTCAATTTGTGAGCGGAGCAGTATCCAAAAACTTTGTTCGCTTCAACAGACGGTCGCTGAGAATGTCCTCAACTTATGTACCCAAGGTTATTGCAATCGGGCAGATGTGTGCCACAAATGATAAAGATAACAATATGCGGCAAGTCGAAGAGTTATTTGTGAAGGCGAAAGGACAATCTGCCACATTTCTATTCTTGCCGGAATGTTGTGATTTCGTTGGGGAACATCGGAAGCAAACACTGGAGTTGTCAGAACCTTTGACCGGTGCGACCATGAATCAATACAAAGAGTTGGCTAAAAGTTATAAAATGTGGTTATCCTTGGGTGGCATACACGAATCCATACTCGATAAAAGTGGAGGTAAAACCGATAAAATATACAACACACATGTGTTGTTGAACGATCTCGGTGAAGTGGTGAGCGTCTACCGAAAATTACATCTCTTTGATGTTGAAACCGATGAAATGCGTTTTCGGGAATCTGACGTCGTTACTCCGGGCTCACAGCTGGTTCCACCTGTTAACACACCTATTGGCATGATAGGTATGCAAATCTGTTATGATTTACGATTCGGTGAGGCCAGTTACCTTTTACGTAAATCTGGAGCGCAGATACTAACTTTTCCCTCTGCATTCGCTTACTCAACGGGCAAGGCACATTGGGAAATTCTTTTACGTGCACGCGCTATTGAGAATCAATGCTATGTTGTCGCTGCTGCACAAATTGGTGCACATAATTCTAAACGTACCAGTTGGGGCCACGCTTTAGTAGTTGACCCCTGGGGCAGAGTGCTTGCTAATTGCGAAAAGGAAGAACTAACGGTGGCAACAACGGAAATTGATCTAGTCAAAAATATATCTGTGCAAAAGAATATGCCTGTGTTTCACCACAAACGAAATGATATTTATTCGTTAACAGCTTTTGGTATGGGAACAATAGATATTCTGGAGGATCGAAAATTTGCAACTAACACAATACGTAAAGAAACTATTTTTTACGAAACAGAGCACAGTTTTGCATTCACTAATTTGCGCTGTGTAGTGGAGGGTCACGTTTTGGTCTCCACTAAGCGTGTTACAAAACGTTTGGACAGCTTGCTATGTGACGAAATTTGTGACCTATTTTCCACAGTCTGTAAAATACAGCGTATGTTAGAGAATTTCTATAAAACAACATCCGCAACGGTCACCGTTCAGGATGGACCTGATGCTGGCCAAACGGTGCCACATGTACATTTCCACATTATGCCTCGACGACCAGGGGATTTCAGCGAAAATGATCACATTTACACACGTATGGACGATCGTTGCTTGGACCAACCAGACCGCACCATAGATGAGCGTATAGCAGAAGCGCAGAAGTATCGTGATTTTATAAAGGATCAATAATAATGTAGTACATATGTACATATGTAAGTATGTATGTATGTGTATAGTAGCCAAATTTGTACAATAGGTATAATAATTTGTTAAATTGTTTTAAGGTATCAACATATGAGCCGTTTATTTGAAAGTAGCTTAAGTCATTTCACCCCTCTTTTGGATAAATGGTTGGTTACTTCTAACTAGAGCATCTGTAAATCGTTATACCGCCATAAACTAATGACAGAAATTGTTACATTTGGCTGATAAGTTGAACGAATAACAGACGGGTTCAGAAACAAGAAGTGATCACTGAAGTCAAACGGCATGAAATGACTTACACCGCTTTCAAAATAAACGGCTCATATGTATGTGTGTATATTAAAACTTTTAAATAAAAATTTTCAAATTCCGTATATACTTGGTATATATGTATGTACATATTTGCGACTTGATTATGGCGTGAGACTGAAATGGGTTTTCACGTGAAGACACGTTTAATAATATAGAGATGTAACTCAAAATTTAAGTTACTCCAGAAAAGTTTACAATGTTTAAACAAGAAGCAGAGTTATTTGGCCCAGCTAGAAGCTATAGCGCCATTAACAAAATTATATAAATGTTAAAAATTTAAAAAAAAATGTTCGTTATAATTGCTGTGGATTTTATATATTTAGCTTTAAAAATAGCAATGTAATTAAATTTTATGTTTCGGCATGATACCAACTGTATTA